ANNNTAGGAGGCGGGAACGGGGGGGAGCGGGGGAGAGGGGGGGAGCGGGGTGGACGGGGTGGAGGGGGGAAAGGGAAAGTAAACAGGGAAGGTCCCGAGGGATGAATGAAGGGATTGTAACCCTCAGTGGCCACCGTCGTACAGTGTGCACGTCGTATGATGCGGTGGATGCGGCTTGCTGTCCTGGCGGGCATGTGTGTGTACGGTGGCGGTTTGTATTGGGGGGTGACGCCGAAGGGTATGGCCAAGGGAGGTACAGGAGTGTGTTCGTGTGTATGTGTTCGTACGACATACACTCTGAGGGCGGTATGGCAGTTGGAAAGGTAGCGGTCTGGGTTTGCCGTACCTCGCACGCACGTGCGTGGTGGTAGCACTGCCGTGGAAGCGCACCACCGGAAGTGCAGTAAACGGTTGCATGTAATGCCGTACACGTGATAGCCTGCGCAACGCGCAACAGAGAAGAAGCTAGTTGACATCGCCGTGCTAGGCGTGCGGTCCTCTGATTCAGGTTGTAGAGGCCGTGATAAGATCTCTTCGTTGGTTTCGTTGTTCGTTTCTCGTTTTAGTGCTATTAGGGCTATTTAGTTTGTTGCTTTCGCTGCGCCTGTCAGCCGAGAGGCCAAGTTGGGGTGGGGAGTTTGGGGGGCTAAATGTACGGCTAAATGTACGGATGCGAGATCCCCTGGCAGGTGCTGGGTCCCCCGCGGGGGCTGACACGAACCCCGTCCCGGCCCCGGCCAAATACCGGACCGTACAGGACATGAAGTCGCCTGCTGAGTCTATTTCCTAATTAGGCTTTTACATCGATGTTGCATCAGATCTTTTTCGGGTAATGATCAACGGAAAGAACGTTCAGCGAGCAGCAATTTGTGAATGAGATGAAATGAAAGCGGAGATGACATGCTCGCAGGCAGGCCGTATGTCCCACGGGACAACCACCATTGTGCCGTCGTGACATTATACACGCTCTTGTGCATTCCGGTACTATTCGCCACCACCACCACCGTTGCGACGGCGCTGTTCATGTTGAGCACGTACGTATGCATGTTCCTACATTTCGTACTTTTGCACATCCGTACTTGTGCTTGGCACTTACGTTGTGTGTCTCTACGCAACTAACTACGTACACGTCAGGATGTTCACCAAGTTGATGTTGGATTACCTGAACGAAGTGGCGTACCCGGCACAACAGGTGAGTGCGATGAGCGGGTTTTAGGGTTTTAGGGTTGGGAGGAAGAAGTGGGGGGGTGGGGAAAGGGGTTTGCAGGGAAAGGGGGATGCGAATTAAGGGGACTGGTGGTAAGTGGCGGGGATTGTGTGGGGGATGTTGGGGTTAGGGGTTGGCGGTTCCTCCTCCCCGGGTTCGTTTGCGCTGTTTCTTGTCCGTCGTCGTCCGCCTGGGCCCTCAAGTCACTATTGTCATACATCCCTCCCGCACCCACCTTCCCTCCCGTCCTTGACAATCATGATTATCTTTGTTCAGCGTCCAAACTCTTGCGGGTGCTTCTTATTGCCGCCTCCCCTTGCCGCCTCCCCTTGCCGCCTCCCCTTGCCGCCTCCCCTTGCCGCCGCCCCTTGCCGCCTCCCCTTGCCGCCTCCCCTTGCCGCCGCCCCTTGCCGCCGCCCCTTGCCGCCGCCCCTTGCCGCCCCTTGTCATTTCCGCCACTTGTTGTTTCGGGATGTCGCCGTTGCTACCAACCCCACTTCGCACAGGTAAGTCGTTGCCGGTACTAGAACTGCACTACACGGCCCCCCACTGGGCACTGCACTGCACCGCGGGAGTAGCGGGGACACCGCTTCTCAGCACACACATCTTGCACTCAAGTGTGGTGGTACTAGCGGCGAAATTTTCGCCGCAGAGACGATCCGTTTGCAAAGTTCCCTTTTACGAGGTTACTAGTGTACGAGTTGTACGACAAATTTTCGGCACATCCAGAGCCTTAGGCACAACGCTGGACATCATCGCGCTGAGGGCGACCAGTGACGAGTGCTGGCACATGGGCGCCTACAAATGTCGGTAGTAAAGTCCACGGTCACGTAATCCCTTTGAACTCTTTCATCAACATGTGGTCCAGGACCGCCCTCCCCATTGCCGTCCCCCCGCTAGCAGGCGGGTTTGGACTACAACCTCATCAACACTCAGTCGGGCTGGCAGCTACTGCTGAGCGGCTACAACCACAAGCTACCCGAGCTGCTAATGGAAGTGCTGGAGAGGCTGGCAGACTTCAAGGTGGACCCGGGGCTGGGGAGGGGAGGGGGGGTTGGGGAGGGGAGGGGGGGGCTGGGGAGGGGAGGGGGGGGTTGGGGAGGGGAGGGGGGGGCTGGGGAGGGAAGGGGGGGTTGGGGAGGGAAGGGGGGGTTGGGGAGGGGAGGGGGGGTTGGGGAGGGAAGGGGGGGTTGGGGAGGGGAGGGGGGGTTGGGGAGGGGTAGTGGACGGCCCTGCCAACCTGCCTACAAGACATGCTAGGTGCGGAGTCACTTTCCCAATGATGTCACCCGACTAAGGATACATCCGCCTTCCCACCTTCCTTCCTGCTCACGGGCCCATCTTGGGCGCCAGGTCCTCCCCGACCGCTTCGAGTTCGTACGGGAGGGGCTTGTACGGGAGTACGCCAACCAGGTGCTGATGGCGGGGGACGGGGGTGTTGAGAGGGTGTGGGGGCTGCGAGGTGGAGGTGGAGGGGGAGGGGGGTTTGAAAGGGAGGAGGTATGAGAAGACGCACACGACCGGGGCAGGCGGGGAGGTAGGCAGGTAGGCAGGACCGTCACGGGTCGTTAGGGGGATAATACGGAAGCACACAACCCCTGTGGGAGGTGCCCCTGGAGTGTGCAGGCTGCGGCTGAATGTAAGTTGCAGTGCAATTGGTAGCTGCAAGGGAGGGTAAGGAGAAGGGGGAGGTGTGTGTGTGTGTGTAGCTCCCCTACAAAGAGGAAAGGGGGAGCCCAGCCTGGAGCTGCTAAAGGTCCCCGCTTTTTGTCGTACCATAAAACTCTAAAACCCTGAAATTAATCCAGTCACTATGACGTCAACCGCCCGCGTCTGCTCCTCGAGTATCTCCACGTTTGTATGTGTCGTTGCACTTCCGCTTGTATGTATGTATGTCTGACGTACAGCTGCACAATCAGCCGTACTCCTGGGCTATGTACCGGGCGGAGATGCTGACGACAGCACGGCGCTGGCCCATTGAGTTGTACGGCGGTCAGGCAGCTGAAGTCACGGCGGATGAGCTGCAGTCCTTTGTGAAGCGGCTGTGCAGCAGGTATGTTTGTATGTTTGTGTGTTTGTGTGTTTGTTTGTTTGTGTGGGGGGGGTGTAAGAGGGGGATGTTAAGACAGCTCGGTGTTTCTTGTGTCGAGCTGGCCCCCCTTCCCCAAACTCTATCAGCTGTCGTTTGTACAGTACGGCAAACACACATTAGAAATGTACGTACCCGTGCCGCAGCAGTCAGTCTGCTTCCTGCGGTACACCTGTTGTTTCACGACTTCAGAAAAGTACCGATTTGTGGATGCATGTCAGCAGATTCCGCCGTGATACACGGCCTCCGGGGTGCAACGGTACCTAGCGGTGGTGTTTCTTCGGCCCTAAGCTGCTACGGTCGCTTCGCCCGCCACGCATGCCTACCTTGCTTGCCTTGTACGGCACTCGGTTGCTTGTACGGCACTCGGTTGCAGGTGTTTCGTGGAGGGTCTGGCGGCAGGGAATCTTAGGCAGCGGGAAGCGCTCCGTTGTGCGGGGCTGCTCCTGCAGTGCCTGAGGGACCGGTGCGGGGCGGCCCCGCTGCACCCCGCGGAGGTGGCCGAGCTCAGGATGCTGGAGATACCGCCAACACCACCACCGCCTCCGCGGCCGCAGCCGTCGGCATCATCGTCGTCGTCGTCGGGGGCGGCGGCGGCGTTAGAGGCGGGTGGTGAGGTAACGGCGGACAACGGCACAAGTGCGGCGCATGGAGTTGGCATCAGCGGGAGCGCTGCTGGCGGCAGTGTGGAGGGTGCGGGCAGCGGGCTTTCCATCGTTGCTGGTGGTGGTCACGAAGTTAATGGTGGTGGTGGTGGTGACGACGATGAGGAGGATGGTTACCCATCTGTCGGTGGTGGGTGGCTGTTCGCAGAGGATGTACCCAACGGATTGGACGAGAATTCGGCGGCCCTGGTCATGTACCAGGTATGTACGAATTTAAGTAAATATAACGCGAATTTTATATATTCACATGCGTAACGACATATCTGCGAGTATACAGTATATAAAATGAAATATTTTAATTGAACACCGGGTGAACAGCCCTGTAGTGATAATGGCAACTACCCGTCTGTAGGTGCACACACACAACCTCATATAAGCCGAGGGGCCGAGAGCTCGTCAACTTATAGACTAGGAGATCCAAACCCCGTGCGGAGTATTTCGACATATCTATGTGGATGGACGCATGCTCCGGCAGTTGCGGATGTCTGTTTGTGAATGTACTTTTTCGACAGACACCAAATATAAGCTGCAGCTGCAGCTGCATGCAAGTAAAAAATGTGTTCCAATCTTCCAGCGGTGCGGATGGGCCTGTGGGCAAAGTAATGCGCCGCGACATCCGTCGCGTGTTCAAATCTGCAAAGAAGGGAATGGGGAGTATTGCTTTCTGAGGTGGTGAGGCATGTTGGGTGTGTAGAGGTTGGATGTGTTCACGGTGGCGGCACGTAGTAAGAATTCCGATGCTAATCCGTAGCTCGTATATGTGCCGGGTTAAGGATAGATTTCCTTAACCTTCGCGGGGCCCATATATTCCATTTTCCACGTCCACTAGCAGTATGGACCTGCTGTCCGGGGCCGGGGGCTTTCGTGAGGTGGAAGAGTGGAGGACTCTCAGCTGCTGCTGGCAGCGCCCGCCACACCAGCGCAAGGCGGCAGCTCCGGACGAGGCCGCTTCACCTATCATCATATGTCACCCGGGGCCCGGTGGGGTGCTGGTGGTGGTGGTGGTGGAATTAGTGATGATGGTGGCGGTGCTGGTGACTAATTTTCTGCTGTACACACTTCCGCATTTCTTACCCTAGGTCGGTTTGGACGACCTGCGCCGCAACGCCCTTCGCGCTCTGTTGGTGCACCTCGCTAAGCGAGATGCCTTCAGTGAGTTGCGCACTCGGCAGCAGCTGGGCTACATCGTGTCGCTGCACGGCGGCTCGGAGCATGGAATGGGGTACGTGGAGATGCTGGTGCAGGTGAGGGGGTGGTATTGTGTACTTACGGTTTTACACGTATGTGTATGTATGTGTGTATGTATGTGTGTATGTATGTGTGTATGTATGTATATATGTATGTGTGTATGTATGTGTGTATGTATGCATGTATGTATGCATGTGTGGATGTATGTATATGTGCTGACAACTGCCCCTAATCCAGCGAACGACATCGAGTGGATTTTATTTTTTTACAGATTAGGAACACCCGGCCGGGTGATCCTTCCATGCACATCTGTGTGCGTGTGTGTGTAATTTAGGTTGTATGCTTGTTTACCCAGGGAGTGCGCCAGGGAGCCCGGTGAGCAGAGCTGTGGCGAAATAGCGAGCCGCCCACAGCGCGCGGTCCCTGATACCTGTGACACCGCCGCCGTACCCCGAATCGATACCCCGTCCCCAAAGTTTTCCGTTGGAGAGTTTTACAATAACCCAGCTCGCCGCGCGATTACTTTGTAGCTACATTGGTCTTTCCTCCTGCTTCATATACACACTTTGTTGTATGTTGTTGTACATGTAGTAGTAGCAGTTGTTGTACCTGGCGGCCAGGAAACCCTCTTCAGATGCTGGGATTGCACTACAACACACGTATAGAGTACAGTACAACACACACGTCATCAATGGATACGCGCTTAGATCTACCGCGTATATATATATTTGGTAGCGTGTGCTGTGTACTGTACATCAGCTACTACGGTACTGTACAAATGCCCATACATATGTACGTACGGCACCTGTACATACACGTATGTTGGCTTTTCCAGCTTTTCCCTGCTGTGTGCTTATATATTTGTGTTCGCATGTGGTTGGTTATAACGCCCTACTGCCCTGATGCTGCTGGTGCTTTGCCTCCCTTCCGATGGGACAATATTAATATGCGTTTCTGCTTCTTCCTCGTGGTTAACGCTGCAATAATGCTGCAACCTAACCAACCTAACCGCCTCACACCGCCAGTCAAACGCGTATGATGCCCAGGAGCTTTGCCGTCGCTTGGACAGCTTCATGCAATGGTTCCTTCAAACCGGTGCGTCTATGGACGCATCTCGTTATTATTATTAATACAATAGTCGTATTGTTGGATATGACTTTGTTATTACATAATGTTGGTCGTAGGATGAATATCTAAAGGGGTCAGCAAGTGGCTTGGGGCTTTGTGCTAACGAACTAACCGACTGAAGTTAAGTTATTAGTACTAAGCTCCTCCGCAATGGCTGGCGGTGCAGTACAGGCCAGCGGGCAAACTCCATGGCTCTATGTTCCCCCACTGAGCCGCGCCTGGTCGGCATGCTGTTGTCGATAGGAAAGGAAAGGGAAAGATTACTCCGGGACTGCCCACGAAGATTTAAGGGGGCTGGGAATGTAAAAGGTTGTGTAGAAGCTGGCCTCTTTAGCTCTTTAGATCCACGTGACGTCATGTGCCTCTCTTCGGCCTGGCCGTCTTAAGGTTGTTCAGGCGCAGAGTTTTCCCAGCGGTCAATTTCAGCCACAAATTCTGTCACGATGTTTGTGTGTAGAGGATCGCCATGCTTTTGACCTGGTCGTCCGCCACAGCACGTGTCATGTGTATTGTCGGGAGGTTGTAAGTGTTGACCCAAGGGTTAAAGACATGTACGAGGTCTCGATACCAATCGCAGTCAGCAAAGGCTGACTGTAACGCTTTATAATTAGTTTGTATGCATCGACTATATGTGTGCCGTACTATGTACAGATCCACCTCAGGAAGGGGTTGCCCTTATCCACCAGTAGTTTGATTTAAATCGCAGGTTCCGCCTGCTGCGGACTGCCAATATAGAGTATCACTCTTACTGTGGATGTACAACCGTGGGACACAATCTTCCAGCGGCACAATGTCACTTCTCACATACTCGAGCTCGCTGTGTCTGGGGCCGTATGACATATAGATTCCTGGTTTGCGGTGCCCCAGCAAAGCTGACACATCCAATCACGACTCACGAGAAAGTGGAAATACGTCACCGGGGCTCGCGATAAATTATGTTGACGCACATTTTACGTGCTGCTGCTGCCCTTTGAACAATCGTCACATACTCTTCTTCATTGCTCTGGTCGACCCGCAGGTAGGTACCTAGGTAGGTATACATGCTACATATGAATCTCTGCGGTCGAAATACCTGGCATATGTACTGTTAGTGCTAATGTGTGTATGTCTCTATGTTTGCCTGCCATTATTCAGGGCTGCCGGCAAAGTGTGGTATCACCCACACTCATGCCACAGCCCCGGCAGCACAACAGCTGCCTGAGTGTCCAGCTGGCTCCGGCTCCGGTCATCGTGAAGGAGCTGGCAAGATCGAGGGCGCCACAGCTTGGGAGTCATCTGAGCAGCAGCAGCAGCAGCAACAGGTGCATGGTGGAGGAAACACAACCATGGATGGTCCAGGGTCTACTCCAGGGGCGCCCACCAGGACAGAGTTTGAAATTGCAGTGGAGGAGCTGGCAAAGGCCAAGCTGGAGAAGCCGAAAAAGATGGGTGAGTGTTGTTGGGCCTGTATGTCTGCAGTAGCTGGTCACTGGAAAGGCCTCTAGCCGAGCTGCTTGAGAAGGCGCTCTAGAGTCTGTATGTTGTTACAGGGTGGTATAGCTTCACCAGCAGCCCCCTTTCCCGAGGCAGTTTCCCTGCTCTCCCCTGCGAGAGGGGCACCCTAATCCGTTCACCCCATCCGACTTCAGAATGTATTCGTAGCGTCTCATATGTGTTGGATGGTACACCGCGTGTGTGCACTATTGTATTGCTTCGGCTCAGCTTCTGCCTGGTGTATGGGCAGTAGCGGCCGCACTATGAGGGATGACCAGCTACTGGCCAGTTGCTAAGGGAAGGGCTAGTAGGAGTACCGGATGAACCAGTGGGTAACATTACTAGAAACCGGGGACTTGGTAATGGTTCATCCGGTACTCCGGTAGGTAGTAGGTCTCCGGACTGCCATAGTCGCGACTACTATGGACTATGGTGAGGTGGCACCAGTGCTGGTGGAGAGGTAGGAGGGGATGCCGGTGTCCCCCCATGTGGGCCAGGCAGCAAACCTAGCCTGGCCTTAAGGCATAGAGCACGGATTTCTTTGGTGCGGCCAGCATACTAGCTAGCGTAATGTGCAGAATGCCCCTAAGCGGGGGTGCCCCCAACCAGTTCAGATAGCGACATGCCTTGACACCGGAACTTCCATTTGGGAAAGTGCGTGATTCACTAAGGGTATCCAGGCACTCCCACCGGGCGTCAAGCCGACTAGCAGACTCTTAAAAGTATGCTTCCCACAAAAGCTCACCTAAAGGCACTTTTGGGATCACACTAGCTATAGCGCTGCTAGCTATCCCGCAGATGTCTATCTATAATTGCCCACTTACAGGGGCTGAGTGGTCTTATCCATACATCTCATCTGCCTGGTCGTCTAGGCTTAGGGTTTAAGGGGTTTTAGGGCTAGATAGGTTAACATTCTGATATTAACCCTGCCATCATAATATTGTTGATCTTGGATGTGCATATGCCGCATCAAGACAAACAAGAAAACGTGTGTGATTATTTCGCTAAATTGCACAACACTCTTGCCGATTAAGCAGCCCCTCGCAAAAACATGATGCATGGACGAGCGACCCGAATATAGCGTTCATACACATTTAGACAAAATGTGAAGGCCACGGCTGGCTGCGCAAAGGGCAGCCTTCAAAGGCCAAGAGGGCTGGGTGGCGTCGGCTAGACGCGTCCGCACGTCCCTTTGCATGCAGAAGTCCACAGAACAATTGAACTGCTGAAAAGCGCAAACAACATAAAAGGAATATAAAAATTCAAGAGCGTGCGAAATTTGCGGGGGTGGTGAAGCGGCTTGATTTAACACTGCCAAATTGCAAAGGCCACGGCGGGCCACACAAAGGGCAACCTTCAAGAGGCAGGAGGGCTGGGACGCTTATATGCGTGTGAAATTCGGGGGCGTGCGGTGACGGACGCCAGATTGGCTGCTGTGAGGACTGGCCAGCAAGTGGCCCGCTCCTGCGTAATGGCAGGACGTGAAATCGAGCGGGTGCATCCACATGTCTTTTGGCATGCAGGAGTCTACAGAACAATTGAACTGCTTAAAAGCGAATTGCAAAAATGCGAAAACAAAAAAAGGAATAGGACAAATAGAAAAGACAAACACCAACATAAAGGAAAGCTTGTGGTGATGTGGGAAGAAAGCGGCAAAATTTAAAAAAAAGGAAACTTTCAATGGAAAGTAAGGAGCTTGGCTTGCTGAGAGGGCCGGCAACGGGGCCTTCAAAAGCAGCGGGCATGGACAACGTACACCACATTGCCGGCAAGGGTGGAGCTGGCCTTCATCCGACCCGAGAGGAGCCCTGCAAGGTCGCGCGGTTCCTTGTATAATCACCAAGCGGCATTAAACCTGGGCACATGCAGCTTCGGTCGGTGCGGCAGGCTGATGATAGCAGTGCGCTGTTATCTAAATGTGCAACGGTTGCTGCATGTTCCTGGCGCGTCAGGTGTGTTTTGCAGCGCCGCCATACAGCGTGCGTTGCATTTCCTTAAGGTCTCAACTTGCATTCACCTCAGCGCCCGCTTGTTTTGGTGCCTAAAGACCTGCAGCTGCCTACATCCCCGCTGCTCACTGCACAACCTTGCAGTTGTGCCATGCACCCTAAGCGCACCGCAGTTCACCAAGCTTTGTGTCGTCCACAGTGTCGGGGCGCGATACATTTGCCCTTCTTCAACATGCATGTAAACGTTTATACACATGTAGAAGAAGGGCAAATGTATTTTAACGGATGTGATGTGTCACTACCGCGACTGTAAGGCCGCACCCTACAAAGGCGCAATAGCTGCAGCTGCAGCCAGCTGCTTCACCAGAAACACACGATGGTTGCTTATGATGCTTTCAATACAAAAATCTTCGATCATTAACCCGGCATAGCCCCAAACATTGTATGTTTAGGTATTATCTAAACGCTGTATTATATTACTGCGAGCCCCAGACCTGAGCGGGGGCAATGTAACGATGCCAGGCCAATCTGAGCATCCCAGGTTACACCTTTGCTGTGTTACAATTGCCATATCTATTGAACACATTTCTACGATTTATCACACTATATGGCACCATCCACCATTACCACACTGTACTATGCCATATGAACTCGGTATCCTGGTGATCCTGTCTTCTAGGATCTCTCCTCCATCCATTCACCCAAACATCCGCAGAGACAGAGGGTTGAGCAATCGCCAGCAATCCAGCGTGCAAATATCAATCCATCAACTGTAACCTCAACTCCACATCTAACCAGACATTGTCGGAGGTCACCCCAGGAAATGAACCCAGGACCTTAAACTTAATATGGTAGTACTAGTAGTGTTGACTGACCAGACCAGATCACCATGTGATACGAACGTCAATACTGACAGATGGTTAAATGTTTGCCGCACAATGTGCAGATTGTGCCAGCTGGCGTGCAAAGCTCGGTCCAACAACTGTGACCCCCAACTTCACATCTCAGCAGCTATCCATAATCACACGCTCCCGACAATATTAGAGGATTACCCAGAAGTCGAACCCAGGACCTTCAATCGCAAATTGCAGTTGTGGCTAAAAATTAGACCATGTGTAGCTTCATTTGTATAATTTTACGTGTATGTTCCTACTTTGTCAACTGCATGCATATGCACGTTTCTCGTCCCATACCTGCTTCATTGCCCAACCAGCTAGTTGTTTTAAATGTTTTGGATTTTGGATGTCTTTAGGTGACTTGGTCAATCGTTGGTGGTCAGAAGTGCACCATGGATGCTACTGCTTCGACCGTCAGGTGAGCCCATTTTCGGAGTATAAGTAAATTTAGTCATACATAAGCATTTATCAACCGATGGCCTGAAAGCAGTGGCACAGAGGCAGCGAACACGTCCACAATACAGATGTTGACAAGGCGGCTTTAGCTAGATACTTACTTCCATACTAAGTGCATATGAGCAGGGTGCTGTTGACGGTACACATCAAGCCAATATGCACTCTTTGCACACACCACCAGAGTGCGTGGTACATGGCATATGCTCATGTACATGCATGTACATGCATGAATTGCGAACACAATAGTGGGAGGTATGGGGAGGCAAGGGGAAACCCATAACCAACCTCTCCACATACACCCAATCCCATAATGTAGTTCAGGCAGACATGTATAATTTATTTCATTATACTATAACACAGCTCGACCTGCTGGGTGTTGGGTGGATAAACGTAGAACCCATGCTTTATAAATATTTATAAAATATTTAATTAATTAAACAGTACTTGATTGTTGTAAACCAGCAAGCTTTTTGCAAAGCATATGTAATTGATGGTGGGCAATGATATGCATACTGCTGCTTGAAGGAAGCGGAGGTGGCCGAGCTGCGCTCCCTGGCCCCAGAAGAGCTACTCATGTTTGCCCGAGACCTGTTGGCTGGGACGAAGGTGGTAACCCATGCAAATGCTACAAATGCTGTGAAGATGCATGGCTTTGGGCCCGTTTACCGAGATAATCCCGCTGCAGCTTCACAACCCATCAAGACTACAGGAAGGAAGGCATCAACACATTGCAGAAAGCTCACCGTGCAAGTAGGTCCTCAACCTGGGCTGCTGGGCTCTTGACGGCCCGCTGTGATGCGCAACTGGGTGCAGCTGAGGAAAAGTAGGGTTGCCTTAGCCAATGCATACGTATGAGTATACTGTATCTGTGTTTACTCGAATTCTGGTGTATGCTCCATTTGCTGACAATCCAAGCTTGTTTGCAAATGTACTCACTTCTTGGTGAGCAATGCATGTATTGCATTGTGCCTATTATGATAGAGATCCGCCTTTATATGTTTTGATCATCTGCAGATCGCACCCTCGTCTTATAGAATGGACGGTCCCTATCTAATCTACCAGGGCATGATCCTCAAAATGATATTATGGGCGTCTGGCTGGGGAATGTCTTCATGTGAGGCCTAAGACAGTCTCAAATCTGTGTATCCATGCATGGTTGTCATCTGTCTGGACAGCTCGTGAACATGTGCTCCTTTCCCGGCGTGTATGGAAAATGTTTTACCCTACCCTTTAGATACGTGGAAAAGGTGAGGCTTCTCGTGCTGCTACACAACCACAAATGGAGGCACTGCAGCAATCATCAGCACCAGGTATGGAAAAAGGCGACAGCACGAGTCGTGCCCCAAGTGGATATCGTCATTATTTTCATATCTCTGGCAAGGACCTCTTTTCTTGGAAGCAGAGCTGCACTTTGCTCCCAACCGTGTGTGCCTTGTGGGCAACAAGGCATGCTGCGGCAGGCAAAGGCCCTGTACTGTCTAGTGTAGCAGAGGAGCAGTTTGAGAAGACGGGATGAGGCAGGATTTTAAGGATTGTGTAGCTGATGATGTTGGACTCATTGCTAATAATGGAGAGCTGGCCAGGTTGTTCTGGATTTGCTCAAATAGAACTGATTTGCGTCGCAAGGAATGGTGCACGTGCTGTGTAAAATAATACAGGGTTGTCCAAGTAATACAGTTTCAAGATACATGCATCTGGAATGAGAAATGCATGTGGCATATGTGTGTGTTACTTGCTCGTAGCTGCTAGACAGAAGCAAGCTCTGACGTGAGCATTTGCCCATTATTACTGGTTGCTTGAGTTTCTAGGCTGAGGTATCCTGGTGCTGGTAGCCCTTCATTCATACCCCCATGCGCGTTTAGATGTCCAGCCAGACGTGTACCCGTCAGACTGCAAGCAACCAGGAATTCACATGGCGAAATATAAGCATTGGATGGGTCTGGCGGCCGAACAAGCGGGCAGGAAGGATGTGCGCCCGCATATCACAATGTTTATCCATTTTCAGCGAATCACAAGCTTATGCAGTTTAGGCTTTGCTGTTGGGCATTGGCAGCTAACAGAGCTCTAGCGTGTAAGGGACGGCGTTATATACCTAGGGAGGAGCGAGTATGCCCTTGCTGCATCACTGATAGCCATATCGAGGATGAGAAGCACATTTTGCTGGGCTGTCCGGTGTATGGCAAAATCAGATCTGATATGGATTTCCCACGCTTCGAGCACATGAAGGACGCTATGAAGTGGGAACCTGAACGCCTGGCAAGGATGCTGGAACGTATATGGTCCCACCGCAACTCTATCGTTCCCTTTGGTCGTTAGTATCCTCATCACTTTTTCATTTGAAGTGCGAGGTAGGATGGTGCTTATAGGCGATCTGGCAGCCCTTGAGCCCTCGGCTCATATTAGGGTGGTTTGCAGGTACGGGGAACACACCCACGACCATGTAACAACAACAACAAAATACCCCCTTCGGCCTTTGCTAATATTGATCCCATCATCCTTCATCTGCCCCTCCTGCACATGGGAACCTCGCTTTCCCGCAACATGCCGTGGAACCCGCCGTGAAGCCCGGCGGCGCCGGGTTGCATGCAGCTGCAGATATGCATGCAGCTGCAATGCGTTGTGGCAATGCGTTGTGGCCCGGGAACATGATCATGATGCTGTATGTCGAGCTCGCTCACAGGGCTACTCCTTTATAAAGTAATTCAATGTTATGTGGACTTGTAATGGTTTAATTCTTGAAAGTGACGCTAAATAAGGCTACAAAGCCTCATAGCACAGGAAAAGTAAAGAACATGCCTCCGGTGTCCTTTTAGCACCAAAGAGCCTCTCATGGACCGGCTTCCCTATTGGGTTCCTGGAATTTAGCCAGCCATTGACCAGGCTGTGACATCCCGCCGTGGCGACATTGGAGGCAACCGCTTGGCCATATGGCATCGAAGTCCTCTAATTCTGCTGTCACAACTGTGGGCCATTGTAACAGCCGTCTCTTACCTTAGTTGTTTGAGCGGAAGAGGAGGGTCTCGTCCACGATTGACGACCCAGCGATAGGCGCTAGAACAGATACGGGAAGTCGGAATTCGAAGACATACGTTGAGCGGAGTCTCGAACATATGTTGGGATGCATCCGAACACTGGTTTTGTGATACGAAAAGTGTCTGGCCGAAGCACTTCACCTGGGTGGCTTAAATGCGGCCCACCTGCCGCCATCTCCATTAATATTCCTGGAGTCTTGGTGTCGTACGCTAGGTTGTGATAGCGCAACAGAAAGTGAGTTCGTACAGTTAACGAGTATGGTTCGTAACTACGGGACCGTACCGTTACTGTGATTTAGCTTTAATAGGTAAATGTAGCTTGCTACATCCCTCCCCCTCAGAAGCGAACCGTCCCGGGAGCGTCACCTTTCCTTGCGAGCAGGTGCTTTCCGTTTCGGTTGTTCTGGGGTGCTGTTCCGGGGTGCTACCGAAGGGGAGGTGGTGAGGACCATTTTCCTGTTTGGTGTAGGTTGCCCCGATTTTGCCGCCAACCGTCGTTCATAGTCGTCAATAGCTTCGGCCAGGGGAACGGACTGACGCAGGGAATCTTCCGGTTCATAGGTGTTATGACTGGAGTCATAGCCTTCCCATTTAACCAGATATTCTCGACGTGTTTTGCCGGTTCCACCTCGGATTTTCACATCACGATGGTCAAGTAGTGCCTCGACCATGTAATATGGCTCTTCATCAATTATGAACGGGGGCGGCGGTTGTCGTGTTCCATCGTCCTTGAATGGTTTGAGCAAGGATACGTGGAAGACCGCATGGAGTCGGGAAGTCGCGGGTAATCCCAATTTGACCGCGTTCTCTCCGACTCGAGCGACAACCTTATATGGCCCGATAAACTTAGGCAATAATTTCTTTGCTCCAGGAGATTTCAACTGGATGTTGCGGGTGCTGAGCAGCACGGAGTCCCCAACCTCAAAACGCACCGCACACCGATGCTTGTCGACGACAATGCACTGGCGGGATTGCGCAGCCTTAAGACACTGTTTTGCGTTTTCAATACGTTTGCGCATGACCTTGGGATAGAGGTCAGCGGCAGGCACTTTGGTTTTCAGGTGCAAGTCAACCGGCACATGTGGCTGCTTGATACCATTAAGGCTCAACGGGGTGGCACCCGTTGAGCTCTGCCTCGAGTTATTAATAGCGAACTCGATGAGTGGCAGGTGTTCGTCCCAATCATCCTGAGTGGGCGAAATATAGTGCCTCAGTGTATCTTCCAGTAAGCGATTCATTCGCTCGGTTTGACCATCAGTCTGCAGATGGTAGGCTGTGCTCATATAGAGGTGGGTGCCTAGCAGGCGAAATGTTTCCTTCCAAAAGTTGCTTGTGAAGCGTGTGTCCTGGTCAGACACAATATTCTGTGGAAGGCCGTGCTGTTTGAAAATCGTAGCCACAAAGAGGCGGGCTAGATCTTCCGCACCGACGGATGTGCCACATCCACAACCAGTGGTTGTGGGAGCGAAGTGCGTCATCTTGCTCAGGCGGTCCACGAACACTACTATCGCGTCATGCCCATTGCGGGTTGTGGGTAGCTGTGTGACCAAATCCATTGACACACTATTCCAAACGTTATCTGGAATGGGAAGGGGCTGCAGCAGTCCGCCTGGCTTTTGATTCGAAGCCTTATTGCGCTGACAAGAAGGGCAGGTACTAACGTAGGCCTTCACGTTAGTATCCAACCCGGGCCACCAAAAATGTTTCGCGATCGCTTTTTTGGTGCGGTCCATGCCGCGGTGGCCAGCGTAAGGAACATCGTGATTTTCGTGGATGATGTCCTTTCGCAAGTCAAGCACATCCGGAACGTACAACTGGGAACCGTAATACCAGAAGCCGTCTTTCCGTTTAAGCTGCAGTTTTGCTACCGAGCTCTTCTTCAGCATGGGATCGCCGTCGTACCCGCTTAGGATTCGGCGCCCAATATCGCTGCCAATCAGCGATGCCGTAAGCACGTTCAGCACCACGTCGTGAACCCGACTGAGAGGGTCAGCAACGTTGATTCGTCCGGGTCGGTACTCCCATTTAAAGTCGAAACGTGAGAGGCGTTCTAACCAACGAGCTTGTCATCGAGAGAGTTTATCGGCGCTTTGCTGATCTTGCAAATAGACCAGCGGTTGGTGATCGCGATCACCGATCGGTGACTAAAGTGACATCCGATGCACCCTGGAGGTAACAGCGCCACTCTTCAAGTGCTAGGACAGTTCCTAAACACTCTTGGTCCGTGGTCGTGTAGTTGTACTCAGCTCTGCTTGTGTACGCGACTGGGCGGTCGTTCTGTAAAAGTACGGCGCCCGTGCCGTGTAACGACGCATCGGACCAGACAGTGAAGGGTTTGTCTAGTTCAGGGAGTTTTAATACTGGTGCGTTGGTTAAGGCAGACTTCACGCCCTCGAAGGAGCCTTGACAGTTCTTCGTCCAGTGGTGGGGCACCTTCGCACTGGTGAGTGACGTGAGGGGGGCCACGAGAGAAGAATATCCTTGGATAAATCTTCAAAAACAATTGGCTAAGCCAAGGAACGAACGCAGCTTTTGCAAGTCTGTCGGTATAGGCCATTCTTTAATGGTTTTGACCTTACGCTAGCGCTCGTCCACCTTCAGCCCATCTCGGCTGACGACGTGACCCAGGAAATGCAGCTCGGTCTGGTTGAACTGGCATTTCGACATTTTTGCCTTAAATTGGTGCTCTCTTAGCAAGGACAACACGGTACGGATGTGTTGTTCATGCTCGGCGGGGGTCTTACTGAAGACCAAAATATCGTCCAAGTACACTAGCACGAATTTGCCAATGTACGCAGCAAATATACGGTTCATTACTGCTTGGAACGTTGCAGGAGCATTGGTTAGTCCAAAGCACAGGACTTTAAATTGATACTGGCCGAGCCCCGGTGCTATGAAGGGCAATCCTACAGGTCGGGGGCCCCCTGGGTGCTTCACGCTGGGGCCCCGCCCCAAAAAAGGAATCTTCACCAGTTTAAATGTGGGGGAGTAGTGACACAACTCAAATGCTAGCACCTATTCAGATGCCTAATTCTCCATACTTTACATTCTTCTTTGTGTGGCTAGCAAGTTGTAGTATCCTGGGTATCACGGGATCTGACATCCACCGATCGGTGTTTTTATGAAAAAGACGTGATACAACACAAGTGGGCTGTGTGGCTTTCCAAATTGATTAATTAAATAAAACAAACGGTTTGCTTTCTTGCATTGGGCCTACAGTGCAAACTGCCCGCACAAAGCTAGCTGTTGGTATAGAAACGTACAGGCAATTGTCGAAGTGCCAGCATAAAACTTTCCCTGACCTTGGAGCAGGAGAGAGGGTAAAGTGCGGGGAAGTGGGCCGGCAGCCCCACGACTCTGCACATACCCCCAAACCACTAACTGGCCACTGATATGCAATCATGACAGGGATGAGCGGGAGCCGAGACATCCAAAAGCATGATGTATGTACAATTACTTCAGCATTTGTTATTACAGGCCAAGGTTGCTCAGGAAAGCCTTGGTGAAGCCTAGGGTGCCAGCCTTGCCATACGAGTTGCATGTAGCAGATGCGGCACCCGGTGAACAGTCAACATCACGGTCAAGGGACCAAAAGTGTACACCTCCAATGCCATATTGCTTCACAAAGGATGAAACTGTGGTAACGTCAGCAAGCGTGAAAGTCTGCCCAGGACTGTCATTGCCGCCAATCATTGGTGTCAATTCAATGCTCGAGTATGGTACGCCCCAGTAGCTGTTCAGGGCTTTGGCTGCATTAATAGCGGACTGTCCCATATTACATACACCGTTGGTGAACACCGTGCAGGCACCACCATAGTCCATGACCATGAGGTTGATGTAGATGCTGTTCCAGCCCATCTGCATACACGAATGCAAAGCAGAAGATGGAAGCAATTTCACCAGGAAATGTGGTGAATAATCAGTGGATGTTAAGTATGGCTCACACTGCACATATTCTATTACATGCGTCATTGCAAGAAACAATGTTTGCTCTCCATATCTGATCCTTGATTATGTATGAAAGCACTAGCTGGTTGATTGGTTTTACGTTTGATGCCCCTCACTTCATGGTCGTACAGGTTCTGCATACACAACAGCATGAGCTGGTACTGTGTACCAGCTACTACATTCCCCCCCCTTTGAAGGGATCGGTCTCGGGCCCTTTCGGTCACATATACCACCAGCCTGTGCCTACCTTCGCCTACCCTCGGGCAGTGGGTGACCAGTCCACGTCACAACATGTATCGCATTCACATGCACCTAGCAGTCTTAAGGTTTTCCAGGCACAGAGACAGTCCAGTCGGTTCAGCTACATTTTTATATTAGTGATAATCGCTCACTGATATTCCACCAAGCGTGATTGGTGGGGCCTGAACCGACGACTTCAGGATCGTAACTTTTCACGAGGTCTCGATACCAAATGTAGTTTCTGGCCGCTGAAAAGGCCTCTCGAGATGCTGGTGGTCGCGCTTAGCGTGTATTTGTATAGCCGTACTGTGTACCAGCTACTACAGTTGTTTCATCCTGCATAGGCTTTATTAGTATAATTATACTAATCCTGTTAATAATTAAAAAACTAAAAAATATTGCTGATTACCAACGTACATATGTACTAACCCCATATGTAGCAGCTAGCACACAGCACTGCACATGTAACAATTACAAATACGTGTGAAATGCATCTCGAAAGAGCCTTTTTCAGCGGCCAGCTACTACACCATGGACATATGTGTGTCGCACAGGATGGTCCTGTGCTGGCATGTGACAGATGCATGTTGAGTAAAATCACTACAAACACACGTGTGTGCACATTTAGCAGCAGCACAATATTAATATAGTTATATTAATCCTATCATATGGCTGGATATGATTAATAGAGTCGTATGCATACGACTCTACACGTGTGTGCATGCAGCCACTCATGGATAGGCAGGTATCTCTGTTTATATGTCGTACGACATATAAACAGAGACTCAAACATGGCTTGCATTTGCAACTAGTTGCAAGTAAAACAGTACTGTTTTCTTATTCAAGATGGTCCCGCCTGGATTAATGGGTCAGGTCCGTTCATGGGTAGTCAGTCCCCCATATATAGCCATGTATATGATCATATATATTCATGAATGGCCATTCACTATGATCATAGTGCTCCACCCCCAAATTCAGGTTCGAACCTTCTACTTCGGATTCGAAGCTCTACCCCTGAACTAAATAAGAATTATGGTGTTGTATCCCGCATCATTCCTGGGATTCAGACCGTTTCCTACTACTATTGTAGTGGCTTATAAGGACACTATTAGTAATAATTATTTCCTACTACAATATTAATTACAATGGCTTATGCAAATAATGCGAGCATGGTCTCTGTTGAAGCCATGATATAGAGACGCACACACCTGTGCATTTTTGAGTGCATTCAGGACTGATGTGCCCAGCGTGTTGAGCTGATTGCCAGTGGCTCCCCCTAGTGTTGCAATCGTGAAGCTGTATCTCAGGTGTCCGAAACCGCCTGCACGTGCTGCCTTCACACCCTGAACCAGATCTGCAATGTCGGATTGTGGCTGGTTGGCTTCAATGTCGAAGTCGACGCCGATTAAGGCATTTGAGTTATATTTTTTAAGGAAGTTGATAAAGGCTGTGCCCGTGCTGCACCTGAAAGCGCCAGCTGCACCACCAGTGGATATTATGTACTGCTTGCCAGCATTTACGAATGCATTGACGTTTGCAGCTATCAGGCTAGCTGGGGTCACGCCAGCCCAGTTCTCACTGCCACAGTCCCCCGTGGCAAAGGCCCAGGTCAGCACACGCAGATTGGATGGCATGATACTGATGACTGACTGCCGGGAGCCCGTGATCATGGTCGATATGACATTGGTGTTCCAGTCCATGTTGATTGTGATATCCTTATATGGGCTGAACACGAGGCTGCCTGCTGTAGCACACGCAATGTATTAAGTGAAAGATGGTCAATGTCATGATGCATCACCCCATATGGGGATAGTATGTGTTATGAGCATTCCGTTAAATACGGTAATGACTAACATATTCTTATTATTGTTACTTGTAACGCATAGGCGGAACAACTCCTGCCGTACTATCGTACATCGTACTCCAACAAGAGTATATCCTTACTTTGGTTAGTTCCGTCTAACGGACATTTGGTTGTCAAGAACCAACTAGCCACTAAACTCGTATAATCGCTTCCGTTCCCTTTAAAATCGTATCTCGTATGTACTCTCCTCGTTACAGTATGTCTTTGCATATGTAATTGACATGGAATTGTACAATGAACAAACACCAGCTGGTCACTGCCAATTATATATTATATATATAATATATAATATAATATTATATAATATATGTGTATATATACATATATCCGACAGGTTCCACATAATGCTGACTTTAAAGTCGGACTCGGAAACATCGCCGACTTTAAATTCGGAATCGGAAACGTCACCAAATTAATTTTTGGAGAAGTCAGCCCCGGGTGAGAAGGATGAGGGTGCCCCGAAACATCGTGTAGGAGCTGCTAGGCTAGTGACCACGGGTGAAGCTTGACCATGCTGCTTCACAAAATCATACACATTGATCATACCGTTTGGGTTAGGCGGTGGTGGCTTAAAGCTGCTTGTGGGTGACGGAGATGGCGGCTTCATTGTATTGGCAGGGGAAGGAAGTGGCGGTTTCTTCACATTTGAAGGGGATGGAGGTGGCGGTTTGATCAGGTTGGAAGGGGAGGGAGGAGGCGGATTTTTGGCAACTGTAGGTGGTTGTGAGGCGGGACTGCCGCCGCCTCCACATTGGAAACTGCTGGGCCAATCACATGTATTGATGATGCTGTTAAACAGTGTTCCTGGAGAACAGCTCTGGATATATGTTATGCCATTGGCGCAGTTTATAAATGTAGAGCAGGTGCTGTCACAAGGATTGGCGTAGAGGCCTGGGTTCTTGCCAGCACAGAAATCCGTGCATGTAGCTTGCAAGTGCCGCTGCTGTTGGAAGGTGCCGCCGGAAGCTGCAGCAAAAGTCTCAGAGGCGGCGGTGGGAGCATTAAGACTGCTGGCCGACATGACTGCCAAAGCAGTCATGATCAAGATCAGCCGGATGCCAGTGGAAAGCATTTTAACTTTGCTGTGATGTTGGCACCGCTGTGAAGTTACTCAAGGCAGCATTGACCTCGCCGATCGACGCACGAGTTCAGTTGGTTATTGGAGCTAGCGGCACGAGACAAACAGTGCTCAGGTAGCGGCAGAAGTCCCTGCAATGCGATGAAATAGGTGTGAGGCCGGAGAGGAGAGCGAGTGTTTTAAGGAGTGAGCGGACGAAGAGCTGTGGTCATGCGTTACTATTACTACATATAAGAACAAATGAAAAGACAAGATAATAAACCTGTTTTGGAACTGAGGATTCGTTCACTTGCCAAGTTCCGTTGCCGCGTACCGACCTTGCTCACGAAGCCCAAGGCCGCGGCATTTGTAGCGATGTTACTCAAGGTCACCGCAAATAAATGTACGTTTGGAGAAAATCTATCCACACTTTTATGCGATACGCATGAAGGTAGTCGTACTCCACTTAGCTCTTCGTGGAGCATAATCGGCTGGTGTTGCGAATTATTGAAATTATGTTTTAACCTGCTAGCTATAGAGACAGATAAAACGGTTACAAATTAGAAGTACTCATTATAGAAAGCAGAGCCCATTTTCGGTAAAACTGTTACAGCAGGAGCAGGTGCTATGATTCAGCTTCCTAGAAACTGGGGTGAGCGAGCTTCATTACTGCTTCCCAACAGGTAATCAGCAGTTTCATCACGTAACTGTGCTAATTCTTCTGAAAGGTGTCCCGCAGCCCTGCAAGTTTGTAGCAGCTAGGATCAGTTGTCCTCATTATTGTGACAGATTCACACCCCCTGTCCACATAATCGGTTCCAAATATAGCACCGTAAAGCCCGTTGGCGACTTCGGTTCTAGCGTAACAGGAGTAGCTGAAACGTTCAGCGTCGCTACCGAAGATTTTGTAGATTTTCATCACAAGATATTACATTTGGGGGCGGGGCCCCAGCGCGAAGCGCCCGTGGCCGTGTGTAACTGACCAAACATAATATCTCGCCCGGCTGAAACGCGTTACTGGTAATATATTGCATTCTCTATTGCATGGTATCTCGCCTGTAGCCAACAAAGATCGTATGAGCACAAACAACTTTGGCTGCCTCCATTCACCGAGCCCAAAGTCACATGAACACCTCTCGAGCTAAATCTACTCCAAAAAGGTACCGTGTATCTCATAATTTAATTCTGAGATGACGGCGTATGATATCTCGAACACCCAGCTTGTGTTACCATTTGCCCGCACGCCCTCCCCCCCCTCCCGGAGTGCCTATGCCCCGGAGTGGAAGTTGGCTAACGAACTACGGCGAGGCCAGGAACACCAATTGAGTTAATTATTGCTTTTCTTTATAGCTTAAATTTTGCACAAAGCGGTCATACTTTGGTAGATGGAAACTGCGGCTGCCGGACAGAGGTCACACATTTACCAAATGCCAAATGAACGGGCTACAGAAACTGCATAGCTAAAGAAAAGTTATTGCTTTAACTAGTTTAGCAAAGAGCTTCACGCGCGGGCACCTCCGATTTCGACCTCAGGTTGGCCGATGATGATGACAGGACTTCTCGCTTTGTACCCATCCAAAAGCACCGAAACGCATAGGACTGTTATGGAATCTAGCACATGCAAGACATTGCGTGGTCGACGTTAAGGGGGCGCATGATGCCCCGGCAGCGCTTTCTGGGCCTCCGGGAGCCCCAAAACGGATTGTCTAGGATCGATCCATTGCAGATAGATCGTAGGCGCTGGTCTGACGGTCATAGGGCTCATAGCAGCTGGATGGCTTTCAGACTGCCGGTCATGGGAACCCGGGAGGCGTGCTGTTGGTGCGGGGCAAACCAGGGCTGTCGGAGATGGATGGGTGCACCACCAATTGATATACACACAGGGACGTATTCTAATCGGGGCGCTCGGCGGTACTCCGCCTGGAGCAAGCAGGTTCAACTCCTGCCGTCCTGTTCCTTTCATCATCCTCCCACAAAGAGTCCCGGGGACCAGTCGGGTGGTTATGACGATGCGGTGGCGGCTGCGGTGGTGGCGGTGGCCGCTGGCTATCACGGTGCGCCCGTCACCGCTGCGGCAGCGGCAGCAGCGACGACCAGCCTGGCGGCGCAGCGCAGCAGTGTGGGCCCCGGGTGGGGCTTGTACGGGAGGGGATACGGCGGGGACCAGTCGGGTAGCTACTAAGGTGGCCATGGGGGTTTTACGACCAGTGACATGCATGGCCTGGGACTGCAGCTACCAGCTACATGGCGGGGTGACGAGTGGGGCGCTCTTGTTTGGTGGGCGAAACCCTGGAAGGGGTGCACCACGCACAGCAGGTCCCGGGTTACGGCAGTGGATCTCAGGATCGAGGTGTAGTGGTGACGGGATCAGCAATGTTGCCAATGTCGGCAATGTCTCCGAGTGGGGTTGTGGGCACGGAGGGGGGCGTAGGTGACACGTCCACAGCGGATTGGACAGGCGGGCTTTACTAAAATCTTAATTGGATACGGTGGGAGGGTGGTGAGCATGCCGATTGAAGCGGAGGCATGAGGACGACGGGCAGTGCTGGCTGACACGGACACAACACCGGTGCCAGCGGAACAATGTATGTGGGATGTGGCGGTTGGAAACAAGGAGTAGGCTCATGGCGGCTGCAATGAAACAAAGGACATGCGGACCCAGGCTGGGGACCTCCTGGCGGAGAAAGGCCCAAGACACGCTGTAACGGATTTTTTGGGTTTGCGCAACTTTGGGAGAAGAGAAAACAGGCGGGGCCTTCAGGCGTGGTTCAGTAGAGGGGGATTCCCCCGGCTGCCGCCGCGCACATCACGAGCCAGGATAGGTGTGCCAAGACCTCAAGCGGGGCTTACAAAGGGGGGACCATTGGGGGTCGGCCTATGGGTCCACGGTAATCATAATTCACTCATGGCTCTCAATGGCAAACGTGTAGGCCCGTGAGCTTAGCCATTTGCCTCATGCGAATAAACGAACAGGCTGTAATCCTGCGACTGCTCGCCTCTCTTTCACTCTACAAGGCGGCTCTTTCCTGCAATTGCGTGCTCTTACACTGGTCTTACGTGGTATAGTGCTACTGTACCGGTTTCATCCACCGTCGCCCTGTCACTATGTCAGTGAAAGCACAGAGAGGTGGATAACCTTCACGGATTGGGATGCAAACGCAGTAGATAACAGGCGCCTTCTAAACTTTTTGTTATTTCCCCGTATCCTACCAACAGGGCGCGAGACTAGTCCTCTGTCGTCTTCGCCCGAGGGTAAGCCGCGGGAGGGCCGCAAGCTCTTCCGGATCTCTTCCTCAAATCCAGCCGGTCTAGGAGTGCGCTGTGATGTACAAGAATTGCGGGGGACTCTTTGTGGGAGGATGATGAAAGGAACAGGACGGCAGGAGTTAAACCTGCTTGCTCCAGGCGGAGTACCGCCGAGCGCCCCGATTAGGATACGTCCCTGTGTATATCAATTGGTGGTGCACCCATCCATCTCCGCCGGTCACCCGACAGCCCTGGTTTGCCCCGCACCAACAGCACGCCTCCCGGGTTCCCATGACCGGCAGTCTGAAAGCCATCCAGCTGCTATGAGCCCTATGACCGTCAGACCAGCGCCTACGATCTATCTGCAATGGATCGATCCTAGACAATCCGTTTTGGGGCTCGTGGAGGCCCAGAAAGCGCTGCCGGGGCATCATGCGCCCCCTTAACGTCGACCACGCAATGTCTTGCATGTGCTAGATTCCATAACAGTCCTATGCGTTTCGGTGCTTTTGGATGGGTACAAAGCGAGAAGTCCTGTCATCATCATCGGCCAACCTGAGGTCGAAATCGGAGGTGCCCGCGCGTGAAGCTCTTTGCTAAACTAGTTAAAGCAATAACTTTTCTTTAGCTATGCAGTTTCTGTAGCCCGTTCATTTGGCATTTGGTAAATGTGTGACCTCTGTCCGGCAGCCGCAGTTTCCATCTACCAAAGTATGACCGCTTTGTGCAAAATTTAAGCTATAAAGAAAAGCAATAATTAACTCAATTGGTGTTCCTGGCCTCGCCGTAGTTCGTTAGCCAACTTCCACTCCGGGGCATAGGCACTCCGGGAAGGGGGGGAGGGGCCCGCACGGGCATTCCGACTTGCCACCACCAAGCCGACAAATTTCTCAGCTTTCATTTCTCTATGAAGTACGCAAGATGCTCGTTTGTACAATTACGTAGGGTTTTCTTCGGGCCCTCCGAAGAGTTGCAGTGTGCCGCGATGAAGCTTGGTGGATTGGTTAAATCCGTTGGCGCTTCGGGGATAAACATCACAGACAGCACCGGACTTCACCCAGCTTGCGTTACCATTTGCCAATCAATTGTCACACGTGCCGCCCTAGCTACCTGCCTGTACGGATGCAAGGTGGGCCCGCCCATTTTCCGGCTTCAAGGAAGTCGACACCCGACTTGTCGTTTTGATATCACGATTGTCTTGGAATTCAGAAAGGAATGTAGTTACATCGACATATCTCCCGCATTCAAAGGGCAGCAGCGTCCCCGCGGCCACACGGACCGTAAGGCGCCTGTGCGCGAACCTGGCGTGAAGTCCCGGGCGGGTTCCGGCATGCCGCAGCTCCTAGGCTCAGATGATTCGTAACTGTTTGCGTATTAACAAGCCAGTCGTCGTCATGAAAACCATCCTGGAATCATCATTTGCATGATCGATGTAGCAATACTGCGAAGATGGAGATCTCCCAGCAGCCGCCAGCGTAGGGCATGTATGGAAGGTGGACTGAATGCGCGTGCTCGAGGGCATTGGAAGTATACCTACTACTATACTACGTAGTAAGACATATAGCTACGATGGATTACATATGCCGCTTTGCAGGCCAGCAGTCAAGTTGCTTCTTGACGGATCGTTTTACCAGCAACAGCAGCAGCAGCAGCAGCAGCAAGCTTTAAAGGGGCACAATGGATGACATTACTACGTACATTGCTGTGTGTAGTAGCTGGCCGCTGAAAAGACCTCTCGAGATGCTGGTGGTCGCGCTTCGCTCGTATTTGTAGAGCCGTACTGTGTACCAGCTACTACACTGTGACTAGAAGAGACAAGAGAGAGAGACAGAGAGAGAGAGAGAGAGGGGGGGAGAGAGACGGAGAGAGAGAGCAATTCCAGGAAACCAAGATAAAGTTAGAAGGCATGCATAGTTTCAACCAAAGTCAGGTAACCACGAATACGGGTGCTCCTGTAGTATGTAACCACGCACAGATTGAGCACATACAGCTCCGCCTGACCTTCGACGGGTAGCAGGTAGAGTCGCACGGTACGACAGGGAACCCTTCCGCAGCTCACACATAACCTAGCAGGGCCGATGATGAGTACAGTGGCTGCAAAGAGCAAAAACCCCCGCGCAACAGTAAGAGAAGCGGAGCAACATTGGGCAGATCCCATGGTAACACGTACATACATACATACGGCTGCAGGGTACTGCGTATGCTAATACAAATTCATATGTTCTGGTGTCATGCGGTATGTGGAGTACAGCGTGAGGAGGTGCAGCCGGGAGCGGAACGGAACAGAGGAAGGTGGTCACCTGAGGAGGAAGGCCTAATGGACCCCCGGGGTACTGTAAAGGGCATTTACAGTATACTGTAACTAGTTTCGAGCATGCTAGCTTGCATTGCCCGGGGCTACGTAGGCCCGGGCAATGCAAGCTAGCCTGCTCGAAACTAGTTACAAGCAAGCGCTGCTGTTCAGAACAGCAGATAGAGTGCCACACCTAGCCACCCAGCCAGCCACCCGACCATCAAGATATTTGGGTGATGGCAAAAGGAGAGAAGGGCAGTTGCTAGACATGCGGCCCAGGCCTGGGATGGAAGGCAGGTGCGCCACATGAACTGGCAACACAGCATATCAGGCAGGTGATGTGATGTCAGCCCATCCTTGAAGAAAAAGCGGAAAGCGGACCAAGTCATGTTGTGGGGTTCACTCTGTGTACCTCAGTGGGGCTCAGCGTACTGAGTGGTGTCAGTGAAGCTTATGCAGGTTTGACGCCAAATTCGTTGCCCATTCACAGTCAGAAAGGAAGCACCCTCCTGTATATGTACTCGCGAGGTGGATCATCTAGGCTCCGATACCAATTCAAAGGAACCGCTCCTAACAACTGGGAAGCATAAACTGACTTGAGTTGCCGAGATACTGGCGCGTGCCAAGACAATAGGGATTTTCAGTCTCAACTTAGACTTACAATGTCAATACTTTGGTCCGCTTAAATAGTAAAGCTACCGCCTACTCGCTGTACACATGAGTCCTAGCTTCGCGAGCTCCAAAGTTACGACACGGTCTGTGTTCTGAAAGTTCGTCAACTAACTTCATAACATTACAGCCACCCGCCTGGCCGCATCAGTGCTTGCACCACTGATGCACTTCAACGAATTCGAATGCTAGGTGGCTGCACACCTGCAATGGCAGCAGCCACATAAGCCACGCCCGTTTTGTTTTCTCAATTTGTGTTAATAGAGCTGGTAGATGATGATATATATATTGATGGGGCAGGGCAAGCGGCGGTGTGGTGTAGGCATATGCATGATCATGCATGTTTTCTGTTGGGTGTGTTGGATGGTGTAGTAGCTGGTACACAGTACGGCACACATAACCTCTACAAATACGCGCTAAGAGCGACCGCCAGCATCTCGAGAGGCCTTTCCAGCGGCCAGCTACTACAGGTGGAGCTGGGTGGAGCATGATATAGGTTGTAGGGTCTGGCGGGAGATCTCCCTGTCTAGACAGGCAAGGACGTGCAGAGACTTGAAAGGGTAGGGGATGTGGCATAGCCACATTTGTAATGTAATGTAATGTTACAGAGTGGGAGGCTTCTGGGCCGTTTTATCACATTGTCAGTTCTACGATTTATCATCTTATAGCACCGTCCACCACTACCACACTATACTTCGCCATACGAACTGTAAGTCCAAGGCGGCGGGTCCAGCCGTCTAGGACCCCTCCTCATCCATTCACCCGAACAACCGAAGAGACGGAGGGTTCGGCAATCGCCACCAATCTAGCGTGCGAATCTGGTCCATCAACTGTGACCTCAACTCCACATCTCAGCAGCTAGCCATAATCTCGCGCTCCCGACTAATTCGGGGGTCTCCCTAGGAATCGAACCCAGGACCTTAAACCGCGAATCGCAGTAGTGTCAACCCAGACCAGACCATTTGTGTCTTTGTGGTGGGGGGTGTGATGGAGCAGATTGAGATCCTCTTGGAAAGGGGCGCGAAAAGGGTAGTCATGGGGGGCATGTCAGCATATCTGATACATGATGCACTCTGGGAACCTGGAGCCTTCATTCTATATGCGATTCACATTCATTTCATACCTTCATGAAGGACCCTTCATACCTTCATGAAGAACCCTCCATAGCTTCATGAAGGAGCCTTCATTCCACACCTGGGAATTGAACCCAAACCTACAAGAAGGTGCGCAGAGGAGCCACCCACCTTCTTGTGGGTCTGGGTTCAATTCCCAGGTATCCCTAAATGTTATGACCCAGTTAGCTTTCCTAGGATTGGAGGCGATGGCGCGATGGACATTATGAAAAAGCTTAATTTTGGGCTGAAAGGGGCCTTCAGATCACGTGATGTACATGTTTTATTTTATGGAGACTGCTTCATTTTGGACTGAAGGGGCCTTCAGATCACGTGATGTACGCGGTTCTTTTTATGGAGACTGCTTCATTTTGGAATGAAGGAGCCTTTATATCACATGATGGACATGGGCTCGTTTTATGGAGACTACTTCATTTTGGACTGATGGGGCATTCAAACCGTAGGGGGCGTTCATTCTGAGCTCCCTTCATTCTGTAATGAGGGAGTCTTCATTCTAAATTGACCTGGTGCCCTCGATTTGGTGTGGAATGAAGGGTCCTTCATGAAGGTATGAAGGGTCCTTCATGAAGGTATGAAATGAATGTGAATCGCATATAGAATGAAGGCTCCAGGTTCCCAGAGTGTGCCCTGTTCCGATTCCCGCCCCACCCCGCGCCTGCACTGCCCTCTCCTGCACCGTCCAGCGTAGCGCTGCCCTCCCCTGCGCCGTCCAGTGTAGCGCTGCCCTCCCCTGCGGCCCCCCTAGCCCAAGGCCGCCCTCCCCTGCGGCCCCAGAGTTGGGCTATGGGGGCTCAGGGCAGGGCGGCGTTGGGCTAGGGGGGCGCAGGGGAGGGCGGCGTTGGGCTAGGGGGGCGCAGGGGAGGGCAGCGCTGCGCTGGACGGCGCAGGGGAGGGCGGCGCTGCGCTGGGTGGCGCTGCATTGGGCGGCGCAGGGTAGGGCGGCGCTGCATTGGGCGCCGCAGGGGAGGGCGTCGTTGGGCTAGGAGGGCGCAGGGGAGGGCGGCGTTGGGCTAGGCGGGCGCAGGGGAGAGCGGCGTTGGGCTAGGGGGGGGGGCAGGGCAGGGCGGCATTGGGCTAGGTGGACGCAGGGGAGGGCAGCGTTGGGCTAGGGGGGGCCAGGGGAAGGCGGCGTTGGGCAAAGATATAACCCCTGTTTCACACAGGGTTGTATATGGCCTCCATGGCCTCCCGGCTTTGACGGAGCCCCCCGCACTCGTGCGGCACTAAAAGAGTTCGCTAGTCGGCTTGACGCCCGGTGGGAGTGCCCGGATACCCTAGGTGATCCACGTGCTTTCCGAAATGGAAGTTCCGGTGTCAAGGCATATCGCTATCTGAACTGGTTGGGGGCACCCCGGCTTAGGGGCACGCGGCATAAGTGGGTAGCCCACGCTGAAATCGCCATGCCCCAACGTTTGCATCAAGGGCTTATGTGTTTCCGGTTCGTCTGTTGGGATTTAGGGATTAACCGTCCTAACAGCCGTGCAGGAACGCCACCTGCACACACCTGCAGGCTTCACAACTGCGGGGCGGTTGAAGATGAAATGCATGTCTTTGTGGAATGCCCGTCTTACACAAGTACACGGGCTATATACGGACGTGACCTCGCGTTTCAAGGGTGCAACATGCGCACGATTATGACCGAGGCCCCACCCCTGGCGCTAGCCAGGTTCCTCTCGGAAGTCTGGGAGACCCTGCACGCTGCTCTAAGGCGCTTCGTGCTCAAGCGGACGAGGGAGGACGATGATGGTCCACCACGTAACCGCACTAATACCAATCTACCGTCCATGTGCCCCCCGGCTTTCATGGACATCCTCGCAGTTGTGCGGAACTTGTACCCTGTACCTTATAGAGGCCAGCTAGAGGCCACCTGGACTGCTGCGGCTGCTGCTAGCGGCTGTTCTTTTACTGTTTCCCCTGTTTATAAAGGTAATTACCTTTACTGCCCTCCCCTCTCTGCCATATCTTCTTTGTATAACCCCCCAAGATGGGTTGTAATGGTGGTGCTCCTCTCCACTCTCTCCACCTCAACCTGCATCACCACCAGCTCGTCCCAACTACCACTGAACTGAATTGAACTCGCCTTCACTGCTTCATTTCCCTCTTTTATAGGCAGCACCTCCGTTCAGATCTCTCCTTATTTACCTTCGTGCTTGGAACGTACGAGCGACTCAAATCCGTCACCCAGTGCGCAATTCACTGCAGGCCGGTGCAGCACATTGCTTCCCGGGCGCCACTGTATGTATGTATGTATGTACAGCAGCTCACGACGTGGTAAGTGGCGATGTGAACCAAGCAATCACACTATCAATGCCTTCCTACCCCACAATCCCTTTCAACTTTCATCATTGCATTGACTTCTATATACTGCAAACGTGCATATGCGAGGTGGAACACACACATATACAAAAACACCTGCACATGTCTACTCATCATGATAGCAGATTCA